GCAAGAACCCCTGCCTTTCAGTGCCTTAAACTCTAAGATTCCTTGTTTCCAGCAGTTGGGTGGGGGCAGAGAATGAAAAAAACAAAAAATCTTAAATCTTAATCTGGAATCCTTTAGAGTTGCAGTGAAAAGCCAGAAAGTATGTTATGAGTAACAGTGTACTGGCATGTAATGAAATGTTGAGGAAAGGACAAATATTTATGACTTATATATTTTCAAGCTCAGCAGAAATGAATTTTCAGCTTGGTCTCAGATATCACACTGTAGTTGAGATTATATAAACTGTAAATATAATGTATAGAATATAATGTCTCTCTTAGCTGTGTACTTAGGCACTTTTTCATTGGCACCAGAGCATATTTAGAAATATTTTCCATAATGGCAACTTTGAGATTATACGTGACTTGAAATGTGAAATAGTTCAAGACACAATTGCACACTTAAGTGGAAAAGCAACTGCCGTAGCATAATATGATATTTATAATAAATGGCATGCAATTTTAGAGACACACCATTTAATCTCTAGTGACCAAGCCTATTTCCTCCCACTTACACACCCATTGCTGGACAGTGTCTTGCAGTTAGTGAATCTGTGAATGAATAAACTAGGCTTTATAGAGAACTGCAAAATCAGTTGTGTCTTAAAAACAATAAGAGTCAGATGCCTTTTATTCTGAATAAATACTCACTTGGCAGGTAACCCACTGGACTCTAGTTTGATACTGAGTACTAAAAGATCTGAAAGTCTGATGAAATGTGAAAAAAGTATTTACATTTTCTTTCTCATTTTCTTTTTTATTGCCTTGAAAATGTTAATTAAAGCTTGGCTAAAAGTTCCGAGTGAGTGTGAGAGGGTAGTACAGAGGCTGGATCTCTGAAATATGAGGGAAATCCTTCATATTTCTGTTGGCAGAGGGAAGGCACTGTGCACTGTGGAGGCTTCTTGAATTTTGAATCCATTTTTGCTGGGGCAACATTTTCATTTGCTCTCCAGTCACTAGATTTGGTAACAACTTGCCTGAGAATGGCCCAGTACAGTTTAATTTTCAAAAATTACTACATTGAGAAAAGCAGTCATTCTCAAGAGCAAACACATAATCTCATACACAAAACACACCTTGGATTTTACTCATTTCTCACTGACATAAGGTGTAATTTAGTTGTCTGAAACAGAGTCATTCATGATGTACGTCAGAAACAGGCATAGAAAAGCTATTTTTAACACACACACACACACACACATACACACACAGAGCCAAATGACATTTAATTTTTTCACATTCACTCCCCAGTGTTGTTGTACACATCCTCGGTGGCATTATTAAGTGGAGCTTTTCAAACAGATGAAGTATGTTCCTTACTGTGGCTGAACTGGAATGAAAGAAGAGATGGCTGTTTGCCAGTGAATGGTGTGTAGCTTGTAGAAGCATGTAATTACATAAATCACAAACATATGCAGAAGATGTTTTCTCTTTACATTTAACTGGTGTTGCCTGGAGTTATAGCTGCTTGCAACTCTATTTAATTACCATAATTATTTTAAATGTGTATATCTGGCAATCTTTGAGCTTTATGAGAATGTTAGTCATACCTTATCTGCAAAAATCTAGAGGGTCCCATTCTTCCCCAAGGGACTGCAGTAACCAGGTTTTTCCAGATTTCAGGCATAGGGTGGCTGCTATGTTTATACCTTTACTTTGATTTACAGGTTTTTTAAAAACCTGAGCCTCTGAAACTAATCAGATCTTGAAATCTCAGTAGACGCTATAATTTCCTGGTAGGAAATTAAGCATTGTACATTGTTTGTGGAAAGAAAGTACCTGGAGAGGTCCTGATTAGCTTATTTTACCTCGTAATTTGCTGACTGTGTAAATGTTGTTTGGCCAAACAGATTGACAATGTCTAGAAAAGGTATTGATTGTGTTAAAATGGATACTTTCTATGGGAAATGTTAAAAAAACCTGACAGACTAGTTGGGATTTTCCAGTTCATTCTGTCAAGCAGTGAAACGAGTTAGAGTGAAGCATTCATCTAAATTCTCTTTTGCACCAGAGTAAACCCAATTCAAATAGTTGATGCTAATGGAGTTTCCCTAGAAACACTACAGTGTAACGTGAGCTTTTGTTTCTGCTCTCACTTATGTCAATTTTGTGTTGGCTTTGTGGCATTTGATATTGGTTGAGTTGCTCATGGCTCAGACCAGTAGACATGGGAGAAGACATGAGTATTGGTGTATAGGATGACTGGCCAATGTAGACACACCTCAGTTCGCCCTCACTAATGTGAAGTGGTGAGAATAGCATTCCCGCAGTTGAATCCACTGGAGGTGGTGAAACACCCAGGAATAAGAAATCTGAGCGCTAAATAACCTCAGGAGGCCGAGCAGTAGGAGCCATAAGCAACTGTCACACACAAATGATGAAGAATTACTGTTATAGAATCCTTGTGCACTGAAAGACCAAGAAAGGCAGGTTTTGTGAGAAAAAAAAATCAGTTCAGCTCTGCATTTATAAAAACACGTGTTTGTGGAGAAATGAGCTCTCCCTATATTACAAAATCCAGTCAGTCAAACATCTGAATGTAAAGATAACTTGCAAAGGTTCATACTACACTAAAAGAAGAAATAGCCATTCTTAGAAAATGTAGAAGTTTATCCCAATAAATCAGGTAAATATAAATAAATGTCCAAGGGAGAACGAGGATGAACCAACGCATTTCTTTTACTGCATTTAGTGTCAGGGAAATATGGTAATTGTTTGCACCTTGTCTCTTTTGTCAACCACTGTAGTTAACCTTGCAAGTGATGCCTCCTTAAGAGCTTTTGTAAGTCACGAGATTGTTTTTCTTTGGTTATAATGTGACATGCCAGATGTAGATCATATGTGCAGTTTAGTGACATGGCCTAGTCTTGTCTTCCACCACCCAAGAGGCAACATACACAAAGCAGTATTGTCAGAGATCAGTTGCTGCAATCTCTTGTGGAAAAAAAAAAAAGGGAAGCCTCTGGAATGCCAGGGAACAATGCTCTTTCCACAACAGAGACTGGTTTATTTAATAACCACAAATTATTTCAGGTAATTTGGCACTAATTTAATTGCACCCACAAGAAAGTCCTCAACAACAACAACAAAAAGAAGTAACAAAAGAACCACCCCTACTACCAACTCCATCAGGAAGAAATGAAGGCAAAGTTTCCATTCATTAATTTATGATTAGTCTTGCTAATACCTTGTCTATCAAATCCCCATTCCGTGCTGCAGACACATGAAAGGGAAACATGTATGTGATGTTTTGAAAAGGAAGTTGATGGAAAGTGATGTTTTTCCCATGCATTAGAATGACAATAAAATCCTTCACATGATGTGGTGCACACCAAAAGTCATTAAAAATGCAGGTTATGAACAGCTGAAATTAAAATCAAGCCAAGTCATTGTCAGTTGATGTCTTGCATTAATCCAAAGAGCAAAATTTCCTAACTTACAAATTTTTGGTAGATTTAATTCTGTTCTATTTAATTTCAAATATTTCCAAATCTCTGTGTGATTGAAGGACTGTGATGGTTGCATTCACCCACCAACTCTGAGGTATCAGCATCTATACAGAGAGTGATATATGCCCTGTCAGTCGGTTACAAAGCTCTTTACTGAATAGCAGAAGAATGTGGGAATGGGAAATCCCCTAGTTTTGCCTCTAGGAAGAATAAATCTTGGTCATTTCGAGTAGTGAAACTGATCATGGACATTTGAAAGATTTGTTTTAAATGCTGATGCTGGAGAGCTGGTGTGAATTCCATTTAATTCAAGTGTTTTGGGTTCTCTCCAACACAGTGGAGAAATCTCCTTCTGACCTCCCTGAAATGCTTTTGCCTGCAGCTGACCAAAGGTAGTGCAATGGGAAGAACAAAGCTCATTATGAGAAAGCCTTTGTACATCTCCTCGTGAAAGCAATGTTCACTGTAGCTATTTTTACAAGGAGATTTTACCCTTCTATGCACCAGGGGAGAGCCCACAAGCCCAGTTTTGATACCTGTCTACAGTAAAGAAAAGAATTTCATGCAAATTGAGTCAATATGATTATTCATTAAATCTGAGAATCATTTTGTTTGAACTTGATCAAGGATGCTTAAGATAAAACAAAAAGATTTGATTTCAAGGCAGAAGGAGACCAAGGTCATTGTTCATTATTCTCAGACTACCTACTGTCCATCTTTTCAGCTTTGTGACAACTGGCTACTCTGGCTCTAATCATTGCATTCTCCAAAAAAAATGTATTTCAATATGTATCTCCTTTATCTTTGAAAGTGCTGCGTGCAATTGTATCTGTTGTGGGTTTTTTTTCTTTTAAAACCTATTATTTGAAAATTATTTTAAAATTCCTTTAATTCTTTTAAATTCTTTTAAAATCCTATTATTTAAAATCTTATTTTTAAAAATACTAATGAAATTCCTCTGTCTCTCCAGTCAGGTCTCTCAGTGATCAGCTGCATAAATATTGCTACAATTAAACAGAAATCCTCAAATCTCTAAGTGATAAGAATTTGGTACTATGGACACTTTCAGCTTGAATTTTATTTGGTTTTTAAAGGATTTCTTTTTATTGTAACTGAAATGGTTGCATGATTGAGGGAGAGAGGAGAAAAAATAGATTCTGCATGTTAACAATAATAATTAGATGATAAGTGTGAGATGAAGCATTACATCAGGAGCAACCTAACATCATTCAAACCCACCAGTTTGTCATAAAGTTTGCAAAACATTTGATCTTAGAAATGATCTTAGAATTTACCATGTTAGAAATACTGGTAAATTCCTCATCCTAAAGTTATACCCACACAATGAGGGGACTTAGTACTTGAGACTTGAAGAGAAAGGGGCTGGATGTGATTACAAATTGAACTGAAATGCAAACTGTGCTTTTTCAGTCAAGTTTTCCAGTGATGGTTGAGGTTGGCTAACGATTTCTTTCCTGTGCACTGCCCTAAGGATCTGTTCTGTTTCTCCAGGGCATCTTGGCAAGAGACTTGAAGATATTTAAAATCCCTAATTAAAGCCAGGTATTTCACTTCACTTTTATTTTTAAAACATGAAAAAAAATACTGAGCCAAAGTAAAAAAACAAATATTTTCCATTTGCCATTCATTACAGATGTCAGACAGCCATAAATATAGAAATGGTCAGCTGCAGGTGTAACCCAGTTCTGTTGTGTAATGCACACTCTGTTCCTATAACATTACTAAAAATGGTCTGTCTGGCTAATAAATAGCACTACCATTACACAGTAAAAGGTGAAAATTAATGTGAATGCTGCTGGTGAGTTAGATATATTAACAAGCCAATCATGTAGTATTAGCAGTTATAATGGGGAACAACATAAACTTTTAAGAGCTTGTGCAAAAGCTTTTAGTCCTTTCAATGTTGGGTATTTAAAATTAGTGCTGTCCAGTCACCTTATTTCTTTAAATTTGGAAGGAAAGGTATGTAGGAAGTTTTAAAATAAAGTCACTGGCATCTGCACCTAAAAATAAAAATAAAAATAAAAAAAAACAAATAAATTGAGTCCAACCCACATATATCCAACCCACTATCGTTTCAGATGCTCTTCTGGTAAAGCTCTCTTGCCTTCATCAAAGGTTCTGTCCCATGCATGATAACCTTTGATAGCCTACTGATAAAGAACTGATAACCTCTCACTGATAGAAAAATCTTTTCCACACCAGAGCAAGATAGGAGTGCAATCTGAAATGGCAGTGAGTAAAGGAAGGCAATAAACAAACAAAAGACTAATTGATTTCTTCTACTTAGCCACAGAGCTCTGTCTGTTCAACAGCCCATCTGGCCCCACATCCTCCTGCTGTCACATATTGCTGTTGCATGGTACTTTGGGAAAAACTTAAGACCAGATCATATAACCAGTTTCCTCCCTGGAGCTTCTTTCCAGTTTGTGTCAACATTTGAGGGAGTTTCTGCAATAGATGTATCTTGGCCATTATGGGTAACACCCAGTAACAGATCTACCATCTCCAAATTGTCTAATCCTTCCCTGAATCCGATTTGGTCTCCAGTATCAGTGAGTACTACAATTTAATTGTGTGCTGTGTGAAATTCAGCATGCTGAGGGTTACAGCCTTTGCCAGGGGAGTTCACAGGTCCCACTTGTATGTACTGAGAGATTTGCTGTTGTGTGCAGCCCTAGAATGTCTTCCTCAGTATCCTGCACATCTGGGGAGAAACCACATGCAGTGTGGCCCAAGATGATAAGTAGGATGATGGGAATCTGCCTGATTAGTAACATATTTTGTGGGTTGCTTATATTTGAGTCAAATGTGCTAATTCCCTCTCTCTGTCTTTCTCCCATTCTTTTAATTTTATTCCTGGCTGCAGAAAAGTCACTGAAGAAAAATGTACCTTGAAAGGCAGCTTGTTATGCTTGGCAATGCTTTTTTATGTTGCTGTGCCTCTGCACCATATTTGATCTGAACTTACTTCATAGTAGTAAGGAGATAAGTAGGAGATAAGGAGATTAAAAAGAAAATTAATTGGAAATATTCCTACTGCATTTATTGGCTGTTAACACACATCAGAGGGTAAAAACTAAAAGACAAATGTCTATCAACTTAGAAAAGCAAGTCTGCTGTCAAATCTAGTGCTATGAGTTCCTGCAGAAAACTTCCCAGTGACATTCCTAACCTGCCTGAACAAGAGGGTATGGAGGAACTGATGATAATTTTATTCTGCTCCATACTTCTGAAATTATTGCAGTAAAAGTTTTGTGAATTTGTACTGCAATTGCATTTTTAATTGCAGTTCATCAGTATTGTGATTGGATGCATGATGTGGTAAAGAGGAGAAGGAGGAGGGAATTGGATTATTACTTATTTTTAAAGTGAGGTTAAATTCTAGTCTCAGTCAAGTTAATGTTGAAGTTGGGAGTTCAATGGAAGCTGATTAAACCCTAAGAATGTATTGTTATTGCTTGTGACTAACAAGCAAACAGGCAACTTCAAAAATTTCTTGTCTCCAGTGCCTCACAGCAGCTTTGAACTGCTTTGGTTGGGAGCATTGCTGCCCAAGAACTACCCACTATCTTCAAGTGTGGGGCCAGAAGACATGGGTGTAGGTCAGGAACAGGGACCCAGCAAGGCAGTTCCTCTTCTCTCCCATCCCCATGTGCATGTTCCCATGGGATTTGATCCTTACTGTCTTTGAACAGTGGAGGAGGCAGCAGTGCCATTGCTCATGGCAGGCACAGCACTCGCTGAAGAAGGCACGGTAATGCAGATCACAATTTGCTGTCTCTGAGTTTAACAGCTGGTTTGGGAAATGGCTGTGATTTTACAAGCCAGCTCCACTAAACCAGACAAAACTGCCCTTGGTGGTCTCTCCCTTGAGTTGCAGTTTATTAAAGCTATTGAATTTCCACGGTTACATTTAGTGTGGTCCCCTAGTGAAACCCAGGTGAAATGTTGCTGCCAGGAGGCATCACCTGGGAAAGAAAGGATAGGTTGTACAGGGAGACAGGCTTAGAAACCCCCCAAAGGGAAAGAGCCCACATGAACTACTGCTTCTTGAATTATCTTCTCTGATGCCTGAGGTGAAGTGGACATCTTTCAGGAAAGCAGACTGCCTTGTTGATTTTTCAGTTCTAATGCTATCCTGAGTGAAAACATTTGATGATTACCCATCCCTGCTCAAAACACAAGTTTCTGTGAAATATCATTGAAGAGAATGACACAGAGCCAAAATAGCTTTTGGCACTGAGAAAGATGAAGAGAGCATATCAAGGGTGCAGCAGTGATTCTCTGCCTCCTGTTGTATTCTGGTGTTTGTAGCAGTCATAGAAACAATTTACTGTTCTGTTTAGGGAGGAAATAACTATAAATCATAGCTAAGGTAGTTCATAATTCCTATAAAGTGTATTTAAAAGTTATCAGTGTCCTAAACAAACTTCCACTCTAGACACTGTATGCCACAAATGGTGCTCCCAAATTCAGTCTTCAATTATAATAGAACTGACAGGAAACACCCCAGAGAAAACAAAATTGTTCTATCTGTATGAATTATAAGGTGTTTCTAGGATACTTTAAGAAATAGCTGCTGGCTGGCTCAAAAATAAACACAAGAATTGTTGTTATGTTGGAAAGATGGCTTTTGCAAAAAACCTCTGTTAGACAATATCTACATGGCTAGTGAGTTAACCTAGTATTTTTCATTGACATGTCATCTCCACATTCTTCATCTTTCCACTAACTTTTCACTGCATTTTTTTTTCCTCCAGGAAAAGAGCAGGAATTTAACCTAGTTTGTTACAGAGGAAAAATAAAGAAGTTGATCAAAATATCATTTTCTAAAATACATTACTGAAAAGAGAAATGGAAAACAGAAAGTGGGAAAGCAATAGGGTCATTTTAAAAGCCAGAAAGATAAAAAAAGGAGTGATAGAAAGGTAAAATTAGAGAGCATGGTGAAAGAGTTGATATGCAGGTAAAATGTAGTAGCAATAAAGAGAAGTTTGTGAGAAAAGGTAGTAACAAAGAGAAAGAGGTGGAAAAATAACCACAAGCAGAAATTAAAGAGAAAATTAAAGAGAAAATATAAAATAACATAATAAGGAAGGAGAGCTAGACAGGAAATATGAAAATAACAGAAGGAAAAAAGAGAAAAGGAAAAGAGAGTTGTATTTAATTAACACATGTTGCTAACTTTTATCAGAGGGAAGCTGATGTAGGGCAGTCAGGCCAGCTGGAGCTACAGCATGGAGATTTAGAGGGGCATTGCCTTTTTTCCTCTGATTTTTAGATACTCTTCAAGCTTTTTTAGCCAGGACAAGCATAATGAGGGCTAAAAGAGAATGTTTAAAACCTGTGATGTGTGTTTGAGAGTGAAATGCAGATACCAGCAGCAGCCTCTCCTGAGGAGGTCCCCACCAAGCCTGGCAGGCACACTGTGGGCACTGACATCCCTAAATTGTTCTGAACTTTAACCTCTGCTTCCAGCACTTGCAGTGTTTACCCTTACTGTGCTGTGTTTTACAGGCAAAATAAAAAAGGCCAGCTGGGGCTGTTGTGCTGCTTTGTAGGGCTGCAGAGGGTTACAAACAACCCCAATACTCAATACTCTGGCCTTGCTGGGGAGACCCATCTCTGTGGTGACAAGGTGTGTCAGTGTGAACCAGACAGAAAGCTATCAGATGTGGGAAGCCACTGGATAATGGACTGTTTTCTCTCCCTTTTAAAGCTCATATTTTTGTGACAGAAGTCCAGCTTTGGTGTGGTCACTGCTTCAAAGTGTTTTCTGTAGGCAGTTTTAATAAGTAATATTTTATAATGTGAACTGCAAGCTCTTTAATGAGTGTGAGCTGGTGAGCAAGTTTGGTGCTGAAATGTGTAACAGTGACAATCTTACCCTGGCGTGGAGCCACCAGGAACAAATCCTGGACAGGTTTTGCTGAGTCTTAGTTACCTTCCAAGGGGCAGTAGCCAGAAGAAGGTTCGTTTTTATGGGTTTATATGAAAAATCTGTTTTTATCATCCATCAAGTTTGAGAGTCTCACACCTTTCTTTTATTTTTTAATTTTTTTTTTGAAGGCTCACAAGGTCCCTGCTCCAGGCTAGAGCAGCCAGTGGAAGCACCAACACCAGTATCACAAAGGTAAGCCCTGTAATGGTGGCCAAAGTCTCCTCATTAGCACAGGGGAAATCCAGACGACACCGGGACCTCTTCTTCCTGGAGCCAAGAGGAAACCTCCATCCACAACATCTGAAATATTTCTGACATGCAACCCAAACATAATAGAGGTGTGAAGACCAGAATGGGAAACACCTACCACAGCTCTGACAGCCAAAGCAAACAGAAAACAGCTGAGTAGTTATGGCTTCAAAACAGCCTGTTCCTCAGTCCTTTTTCTGTTTCACTGGCATCCTCACAGACACTGGCCCACATACTTAGAAAACCCCAAATGGATTTTAAAATTAGGGAAAGAAGAAAAAACAAAAAATTCTGTGGGTCAGAGATGACTTCCTGGCCCTAGATTCTCTACTACCTTAACATGTTTTGTTTTTCTTGTTGCTTTTCTCCATGTTTGTTTGATTTGGGAGGGGGAGGGGTTTTTTTGTTTCAACCTTTCCTGTTCTTTTCTTTCTTCAACTTTACAAAGTACCAAAAAAAAAAAATCAGATTATCAATTTTGGTCTTCTCTTATTTTATAAACCACTGAGAGAAGCTGTAAAATTAAATATTTTTTTTTTGTCTTCCTAATTTAATGCTAAAAGAGAAAATATCCAGAATTAATGTGGGCAATAATATGATTTTTTCCAGCAGTCACATAATCATCAGGGAGACTATTACTGATGGTTGATTAAATAGCTCAAATTTACTGTGATTTTTATGAGACAATCTAGACAACAAATGGATTCTGTCTTTACTTCTGTGTCAACATTTCTTTCAGTAACCTCTTTGCTACATTTACATCTTGAAAAAAAAAAGAAAGAAGTTGAAGTTGTTACATTAATCAAGAACAGTAGAGAGATAAAGCTTTTGAATTTGTCTACTCTCTTGAATAAGAAACTGCAGAGTGGTCAGCTGGGCAACCAGGTGCACATCTCCCAAAATCTCCCCATGTGCTCATTGTTGCCAGGAATTGAATGCATTAAGGAGGGAAAAGTGGTCACTCCCAGAAGTGCTGGCAGTGCAAACAAACACCCAGACCCTGTCTGCTCTCCCCACCTGCCCACATCTGCAGACCTGTGCAGGGACAGACCTGGCTGCTCAGGTTTTGTCAGAGACCCTGCTACAGGGAAGCCACTTTGCCTAAAAATGACTTTTCAAATAATTCAGGTACCTCACTTTTGGCATTATCTATTTAACTGCAGGTTCAAAGGTTGCTGAGCACAGAAGTTTCTGAAAATAAGTCAACATATTTATCTCATTACATTTATTTAACCAAGAAGAAAAGCACCCAGGAGGAAATATAGAAAGGAGGTTTGAAAATATGAAGTTTTCTTCTACTTGATTTTGCTTGGCTAAATTTAATAGAATCATGCAGATTCCCCTAACTTTGAACTCCATGTGGAGCTGTAAAAATCATGCTTTGCTTTAAGCTCCCTGGTCTAAGCCACAACCCTTTCTGGTGCATACTGGCATCTCAAACCAGCAGGTACTGAGTACTATGGGGCTGATCCAGAGAAGCATGCCTGTAAAAGTTTGATTTCAGGTCTTGTTGAGGACCAATTCCTGAAAACACAAAGCTGATCACACATTCAGCTGCTTTATTGGATCCAGAGCAGGGCACAAGGGCTCGGAGATGGCTGTGTCCGTGCTGTGGTGACAAACATCTGCACCTGGTGATGGGGCTGGCTTCCCTCCAGGCTCCACGCTGCACTTGGCTATTTTAGGACAGCTTAGATACCAGAGCTGGGCAGAGAGGGATGGTTTATTATGTGAAAAAAGGTCAGAAGTTTGCCTGCTTGCTCAAACCAGCCAAATCTGGTTTTAATCTATGAAAACACACCAAAACACTCTCTTTGAGAAAAAGGTATGTTGTGTTTTCCTGACCACCGTTTTCCCTGGTGGCAAGTTTCTCATTCAAAATTATATCCACAGCTTTGTTTATGGGACTTTATAGAAGGCTTTGTACGGGTTAGAGAGGGGAGGGAATACTCCTATATACAGAAACACAGAACCCATTAAAGCACACGAGGCTCTGCTGGTTCCCCTCCCCAGCTGCTACAAAGTTTATTTGCGGGCCGCAGCCTGGAAAAGGGGCCGTGGCCCATCTGCAGCACATATGTGGGAATTAATTTCCAGCATAGCCACAGGAGTGTGGGTCAGGCCGAGCCTGCCCTAACCCGTGTCGGATCCCCCTCCACGCTGCCTTAATTGGAGCCAGCGCCGGCACCCAGTCCCGGGACGGGCGGGTCAGGCCTCGACCGGTGGAAACGCTGCCCGTCCGAGCCCGCCGGCATTCCCGGGGCTCAGCAGCACCGGGAGCCCTGTGTGGGCCCCCGAAAGGGCAGAGTGTCAGCCCGGAGCAAGCCGGCAGCACGCCGGAGCCTGGGCATCAGAGAGGGCGAGGATGGGCCCAGCTGAGCCTCTGCCCTCCCCGGCCTCAGCGCTGCTCGCCATCGAGGGGTGCTGGGAGCAAGAGTCCTGGGCTGAAATATCAAAACCTCGTGCTAAACTCAGGCAGGGAAAGGAGCTGGGGTTGCTTAAATTAGCTTTCGTTCCCATCTCGTCTTCTGCACAAGAGGAACAAGTTAGTTCCTTTGTATACTTTAGGCCCAGCTGGTAGATGTTGGGAAGATGGAAGATGATGTATTGGAGTGGGAAGTGCAAAGACATCATCTCTTTTAACCTTCTGGTAAAGGGACAATTGTAAGATAGTAAGAAAAAGGAGAGATGACTGTAACTGCAATCAAAAGCTCATCCTGAGAAGAAAAGACCTAAGATTTAGGGGACTCTTAACTCATTTGAGGATATAGGAATAAGCATTAAAAAAGCACTAATTTGAGGATATAGGAATAAGTATTTGAGGATATAGGAATAAGCATTTAAAAAGCACTAATTTGAGGATATAGGAATAAGCATTTGAGGATATTTTTGAGGATATAGGAATAAGCATTAAAAAAACCAGTAATTCCATGGCTTAAGTGAATGAAACTAACGAAGGACACCCTTTTCAAACAAATGATTGTGTAGGAAGTACGTGCAGGTCAAATGTCAGCAGGCAACCTCACTCTACCCTAAATGTTTTTAGATATTTTAACTGTTTTTAAATATCCATTTCCATGTGCATCTGTCTGTTATTCAGCTGAGTATCTGGCCCCCAGGGCCATCTCTGCCCAAAAGCTGAAGTCACATTTAAAGTAGGCAGGGACCTTTGAATAAAAAAATAACAAAGTCACATGCTGAGTAAGAGGTGTGACGGTGACACTGACTTTAAGCTTCACGTTTGTTTTATTAACACTAAGTTCCTTAGGGCCTCCTTTTTTTTTTTTTTTTTTTTTTAATAAATGTGGGGGGGTTTTTGTGGGGTTTTTTTTTTTTTTTATATATCAGTTAATTTTCTCTCAGTAATTTTGACCAATAATTTCTTTTGGTAAAATTCAGAGTATCTAGAAGCACTAAATTTGGCAAAAGTGATTTGCTTTCCTTAAATCCATGCAGAGATACTGAGGTCCAGTTCATGGCTATGGGAACTGCTGCTGTGGCCTCACATACCACAGCATTTTACTGGGAGGGATAAGCCCCTCTCCCACTGCTGTCTCAGTGTTGGTACCCTAAAGAGACCTCCACAGGCACCCATTTAAAACTCCCAGATGTGGACACTGGGATGTGGTGGCTGCTGGGGACATCAGTTCTGTTTCAGGCTGCTGCAGGGAGGAGCAGGGCTTGCCAAGGTGCCAAAAGGACTTGCTGGGAGCTCCCCTCCCTCCAGCTCAGTGTTTTCCTTACCACTCTCAGCTCCTCAGTTCTGCCTCACCAGTTTTCCTCCTCCTTAAAAGAGAAGAACTAAGTATTTATTTAGGATGTGTATTTTTCCAAAATAGATGAAAGGGGAATGGTTTACCTTGGAGTCTGGGAGTTTGGCCTGTAAATAACCATCTGTAATACCTGTCCCCTTTGCTGTAATAAACCAAGGTTTAGTCCTCTGGTCTTCAGAGAGAAAACCCTTATTCACTCTGCTATTAGCCACTACCTAATTTATTTCTTTTCCATGGCTATTGGTATTGAATCAAAGTTTGTTTCTGAGAGGAAAGATGGTTTTAGTATAGGCTGTAATCATGTATTTTACCTTGTGCCACTGACACAAACATTTATTTGCTCAAGGATCACCAGAGAAGTGGTTGAAAAGCACCTAAAGATTTTATTTGGAATTTGATTCACGTTGATGTTCAAGAATTCATCCTTTTATCAGAAGAAGGAAAGCCTTAAAATACTGATTTGAAAATAACACAGGCAAAAGCTTTCTTGTGGTACTTACAAAAAATTTTGGTCAGAGCAAAAATTCCAGGGAAGCTGACTTCCCCTTGTAATTGTAACACTTCTCTGCTAAATTTGGTAACTAAAAGCAAAAGAAACAATTTTTAAAGTTTTTCATTCAAAATGATCCAAAGCTAAGCAATTTGACTTTCTATTCACTATAGAGGAAAGTGCTATTAAGGTCTGCAGTTCACCTCAACCATAACTTGTGTGACAGCTGCAAGTTTGTTTCTAGGATTCCACCTCAAGTAAATACTTGCTCTTTGTATGAATTTTTTGTAGAGATGATGGAGTCAAAATGACTGCTTTGGTTGGAGCTGCATTTTTCTCTGAAGTCTGTAGAAGCTTGTTACCATGTTAAATGCCCAGCTTTCATTAAATCCACACCTGAAGGGTAAGTAAATGAATCCTGAATTTCATATTTGAAGGTATGTGTGCTTTTCATGGATTTATGCCAGCTAGATTTTAGATTTAAAGAAACATTGTCATAACTTTTACCACACTGTGGCTAGGCCAAACCTCAAAGATCTTGTTCCTAGGGCCACTGCCCTTTGAAGTGGCACCACTGACAGTTTTAGCTACTGTAGGTATTTATGAGGTACAAAATTATAAAGTAAACAGGCATAAAATGTTATTTTAACAGCATACAAGCACCACCAAGTTGATTATATTCTTGTGTTCCGTGCATTGGTTTACTCAATTTTATTTTTGTTTTCTCTTATCTCTTTTTTCCTTTTCTCTTCTTTTTTTCCCATATGAACCTGTCCTGAAGAAACATAGAAGGAATATTTTCCAACTGCAGTAGGAAATCTCTAAAAGCTCACATGTATATGTTTACTATGAATTGAACTCACAGCTCTGAAGCAGTACTGTGTGTTTAGTCTGTTTACTCCCCAAAGTAGTTGTAGAATTATATGTACATTTTCCACATTGTTTTCAGTGTGCTGCTTTGTTTGATGGTGGTTTATTAATGATACTTGTGATTTATTACTGTCACTTTATTAGATTATTTGCAAATGGGTGACAAAGCACTATGTGGATCATGCCTTGTTAGTCATAAAAGCACTCAAGAAGCCATGAAAATCAGTTAAGCTTGAACCTATTGAATGAAAGAGCATAGTGCTCTCTATTGATCAGTAGCCTTTAGATATGTAATGAATAGTAGTACTTTTGTAGCACTGTCAGATAGTGTTTTCCTTTGCATCTGATAAATTACAGTCTTTTCTACTAGTGCTTTGAGATTTGGCATAAAACATTCTTGTACTAGTATTTCTTTCAGTCTAGACTTGGGTGATCTTTCATGACCAAGGCAGATGAATGTTATAAGAAAAACTGATATTTGCTCTCCCAACACAGTTTTGACCATTGAGTTAACACTGATTGGACTTTCATATGTGGCAGGAGATTGAGGGCTCGATTGCAAATGGTTTGTAGAATATTTTCATAGCCTATGTGCATGATACATGCAATCTCTCTCATAGGAATACACATATGCACATTTGGATTTTCACTAATTTCTTTGTAAATACAGATTTATTTCTGAATTACTTGATTTTTATTTTATTATTTGATTTCCTCCTTCTTTGCAGCTTGTACAGTCCTTTACATAAAACCAGAGTTGGGTTGTAGGTAAAATGTTACTTTTCAATTGGATGAAGTTATTGGCAGAGTTTTTGGTGCAGCAGGCCCCAGGTTTTACATCTGCGTCATTCTCTGAAGAATATCCCTATTAATACTAAAATCAGATGCTTTGGAGGTGGTCACTAGGATATTCCTCTGGATTAGAGTCACTTTCTCCTTCCAACCACTCCTCTCCCTTGTAAGAAAAAATAATCAGAAGAATGAGCCCAGTAGCCTATTTTGTTAACAGAACTAGGGACAGTAAATTTTCAGCAGCCTTTTTCTTTTTCTTTTTTTTGTTTTTTTGTTTTCTAATGCTCCTTCAGCTTCCTTCAGTGTTTGCTCAGGTTACTGGTGTTTGAATTAATTCATCTCAAATGAGCCTGATTTAGTAGCCAAAATCTGTGGGGACTGATTGGCAGCACAAAACAACAGTGAAGTGACAGTAGTTTGAACTTCAGCAGTGCCCTGGTGTGTAAAATAAGGAAAAGTTCCACTGAACTCAATATATGATTTCTTAGCTGTGTTTGCAGCTACAGGCATTGCAAAATGCCTGTCACACTTCCATCTAACACTGAAAGGAGAAGCAGCGTTTGGTAAATTATTTGTCCTGGTGTTTTTCACCTGTCGTGCACAAAAGGATTCAGTTCTCTACTCCTCCTAAAGACAACAGCTGTGAAGGCTGAGAACTGAATTTAAAAAATACAAATATCAGTAGAAATACAGTAAGCACAGTTTTCTCTCACTGGAAAGGTTTGAGTACCAGGAAAAGGAACCTTTTATGGGTTTTTACTTGTTACTATTTTTCAGTCTCTCTGGAACATCTGTTTTATGACTGACTGGAGACTCCTGTTGTAACAGTTCTCTTCCAGCCAAACACCTCAGTGGGTTAACCAGCAGTGACAATTTTTGCACACAAATAAAAACTGTTTGCTAAGGGGTTGAACTGTGTCCTGTCTGTTGGTTTAGCCACTGAATTCAGGATAGAATGCCTTCAGTTGATATTTTGACCCTTTAAGTCATTTCAGTTACTTCTGAACAAATGAATATAATCAATTCTTATATTAAGCTGATTCAAAAGCTCTCTTGGCAACACTGTAACACAGTGACCACCTAAACAGTAATGAAAACACAGCTAAAGAGGCTCAAAGCTTAGTAACATCTGCAGTACATTAAGAAAGGTTTCAGAGCTCTAACACATGACCCAAGTGCCAGCATCCTTGCAGAATGTCTTTTACTGCAGCCTGGTTTTGCTCTGGTCTTTCTCAGAGCTGGCTTAAAGGGCAAGTAGTCTCTAAAGACCACATTAATTGACCTAACAGAATAGATTAAGGAGGGGGGAAGTGATTACCATCTCAAATCACTAATTTCTATGTAAATTTTTACATTAAATGAATCTAGATCAATGACTAACTCATTTAATAAATGTTTCTTACTCTTAGAAGGCAACCATAATTAAGTTATAAAATTTCAGAAGTCTGGCTCAAAATTTCAAGTTACAAAATATTTTGAGATGAAAGCAAATAATTTCTTGTGACTATGTAGTATAGTTCTGATAAAGAAGCTCTCCCTGGCTGCTGTCATAAAAAAAGCAGTCACTGCACTTTAAATATCATCTCATCATTTAAATCTTTAACAATAATTTAATTTTCTGTGGACAATACTGAAATATTGTCAATACCTATATGAGTCAAATAATGATACCCCCACCCAATCATGTTTTGATGAAAAAGGTCATAGTATGACTTGCCATAGAAACCAGGTAAACTGGGTTGAAAGACAGTTTGTTCAGGAAAGCTTTCCATTTATTTGCTTGCAGCTTTAAAGGTGTCTGCAATCATATATCCTCACCTACTCAGAAGAACTTCATCTCTGTGACAATTTCAGAGAAACCATGTGTGTGCAGTCCCTCTCACTTATATTCACATCCCATTTGGGATATATTGGGATATATTCACATCCCATTTGAAGAGTCAGTCCATCCATGCTGCCTAGAGACAGTGAGGGGCAATAGCAAGCAGTGATATTATTCTGTTCCTATTGAGTAAAATCCTACTCTGTGGCTTGTCCTACAGGAAATAACACCAAAAAAAAAAGGCAAATGAAATCCAAAAAAGAAAGAATTTTCCCTTTCTTTTCTTTTATTAAATTGTGCCTTTTTATTTCCTTACTTGGTTTCCACACCCCAAGTTCCAAATTTTTACCTAGTGTTGTGTCTCTCGTTACCTGCTTTGTGTGACTTAGAAGTTGCAGTAAAATTGAAACTCAGAAGTCTTCTTAAATGTGGGAAAGGGCTGCCACTATTGGCAGTGTGACAAGACCCAGCACATTGCTGGGACTTTAATAACAATAAATAGCAGCAAGATTGACAAGGGAGATGCCTGACTTGAGCACAGCTCTGTGGCCTGTGCAGCATGAACAGTAAAAGCTTCTAATGTAGCACTTTGAGTAGTTATTAGGAGATCAGTAACAGTACAGGAAATTTCCTTTATGGTTTCTCTCACTGAAAAAGTGCATTTACAGACACATATCTTAAAAAAAAAGATTTATTACTCAACATAACCTGATCTGGCACAAAAGAAGTATTTTCTAGTAATGCACTAAATTATAGAGGTAGCAAGCAGTGTGTTTGATGTGTACTGAATTGCTATTCTTAAAGTAAAATACAAGAAAAATTGGGATAGTACTTCCTGAGAACCAGAAAGATGCACTTCATATTTTATATCTTGTATATTTTCTTAGATCTTGATCTGGGGACACATTAAGCGTCTGACAGTGTTACCCTGGGGTTGGTCAGAGCAGGACTCTCCTAAACTGCTCTGTCCTTCTGTCTTCCTTACTCTTCATGATTCGTGCAAGCTGCTTTTTATTCAGGGGTTTTTCTCATACACCAGCTATGGGGAAGCACTACCATCTCTAATGATGGCTTTGCTGACATTATTTTTATTATTATTACTTGCTTGCAAGTAATGTTGTAAGGTGGAAGTAGATTCTTGATCCACTCCGCCTCCACTTCTCCAGGACTAGTCTAAAGAGGAGACTTTTATTGTTGCAGTGAAAATCTCTCAGTACCAACTCCATTTGGTTAAGAAAAGAGGGCAAAACATGAATAGGGTTGATTTCCTTAAGCACAGATCACAAAAACAAAGAAAGCTTACCAATATTCAAGTAGATAACAAACCCACCTTTGTGAAATGATATTTTCTTTGTATAGCAATGAGAAATCATTCCATCCATAAAACATTTACAAGAGATATGAAACTGTAAAAGATCTCTTGAATCTTTGAATCCAGACCTCACTATTATGTTATTCCATGAGTAAAAAAATATTATAATAATGCAATTTATGTATATTCTACATGAACCCATGAAGTTTCATCTTAAGATTAGGGTTACTCTTCTTGTGGTCTGTTTCAGTATTCCACTTTACTGAAGATTAGATAGAATCCTATCCCTTAATTTTTGTCCCACTGAACATTTTTATAATATTTTTTGTGGTTTTCACATAAACACAGAAAAAGGACCCCTCCTCCCCCAAATACAATGCAGCCATGACACAAAGTAACAATTATGTCCATTAGAAAAAACATTTGTGTTGTTGACATTGGAGAGGAGAGTTCAATCTTCAGACATCCACAGCCGTATTTTGGATAAAAACATTTTTATTAAAAGGAAAACTAGGGTTGAGTTTGTTTTGATTATTTTTGATTTTCTTTCCCAAACAGAAAATTCCAAAAAGGAGGCCAAATGAGTGCTATAAATTATTTTATATGA